GCCTCTTTTGCAAGAAAAGTATTTCTCTGTTGATGAGTGGGTTTTACCAAGATTTAATGAGAATACCAACAGGTAGAAATATCATGGAAGGATAGAAAACACATGCGTAAAAAGTATAATGCACTTAGAGAAAACTAATATTTGTTTTTCTTAAAATTAGTTCCGTAGTCTTAAGTAGAGCAACACTTTCTTTTCGATAGAGAATCAATATCCAAAGTAAAATATATGAACTGAGAAAACTTGTAATACTTGGTGCCAAATTAATCCAATGAAGCAGTGTTTTAAGAAGTTTAGATGGCGTAAGTTGAATACGTTTGGAGAGTTGTAGTATAGATAATAATTAGGGCAGACATTGTAAACTGCTCATAAGAAATTAAATTAGAAGGAAAACAAGAATCTTAAACAATAATGAGTACGAAATAGGGAGGTCGAGAAGCTTTGGATGGTAGTTTTGATGAGATGGAATAAATCCACAACAAGAAAACTGACTGGTTGATTTCCTTTTGGTCACAAAATTCCTTGCTTAAATCCAACCTGGCTAAAACTGTGATAGTAGATGAATGTAAGACTTTGAGAAGATATGGTTTGATATTGCCACATAAAGATCAAGTGTGGGATTATGGACTTCTTAAGGCTGACAATCCATATTTTTCTCACAATTTCAGCTGTATAACAATTCAGTATAACATTCGTATAAGTCGGTTATTTAAATTTAGTCAATAATCAACGTAAATTGAATCCAAATATAAATGGATGCAGAGATATTAAATTTAGATCTTGTATCTGAATGTGGAATTAATCTTCGCCTATTACTGGTGTGTTTTTCTCGGATTGAGTCAAACTAACTGGCTTCCAGTCATAACAGATATCATAAATAACTACGAATTGAAAGTCCCCATTTCTGTAACTGAGTTGGTCTATTCTAGTAACTGTTCATTAAAACCACGTCGTTTATAAATATGAGTCCGCTTCAGTTTAAAACCTAAATTAACCATTTGTATACATTCCAAATGGTTTCAGATAATAGTTGCTATGTTGGAACTTAAAAACTGTCAAAACACCCAACTCGTACCAATCTTCGCGACATTAGTGTAAACTTTTAGTCTAAATAGACCACACTTAAAGCGTATGCGCAATCAGAAGGTAAAAGTTACAATTTATTGTAGTAATCCTACGGATAAGGGACTTCGTGGAGAATAATGGGCATTCTGAATTTAAACAGCTTAGTTAAATAACCACCTTTATAATGAAGGCACTTTACGGTGTCGGACAAATATCTAACTGAAAACGTAAGGCCATCTGGTGAACATGTACATTTTCGACCCACAACTATGCTTATGTTTGACACAAAATCAAACCAGCTTTCTTAAACACATTCAAGTTACCATTTGAATCAATGCCGAAAATTAAGAGGAGTTCATTGGTGTGCTACATTTTGTGGCTATTCTCAGGCTCTACTTCTAAATAATCGATTCGGTTGGTTAGTGAATGTGAGTGATTTAAGAAGCAACCATATACTTGAATTTGTAAGATAATTGTGAGATTGACGATTTAAGTAGTTTGTTTATATGATTTCGCTTGAACAGTTCGGGCGACACCATTTAACTACAGATATCATGGGTAACGGACGCAAAATACAAGAATACCTTGAGGCGTAGACAGCACCTAGTGGTACATCCACAATTCCTTGTCTGAACGAATCAATGTCTAAATAAACTAAGTATTTTAGAAAATGAGCTTATCATGACTATTTATTTATTTGACTTATGTTAAACGTGATGCCTCGATTATAGAATTGGACGAGTTATAAAAGTTTCTACTCGAGGGACAGGCGTGAAATTACCAGGTCGGCTATCTAAAAGACTGGAGAAATGTCTCACGTGTCATGTCCTAAGAAAAAGCTAGGATGTTTGGTCGAATGCCTCTACCCAGTTTAAACCAGCAAGGCGATAGTCGATATCAAATACCTATCAAAATATTTATTGTAGAAAGTTATTTACCACTACACATGTAGTACACACAAAGATCAATACAGAGTGAACATAATATGGGCGAATCTAGCGGTTATTTATGGTGAGGTCGTGTAGATTAATTCATGTACATATTGCTTAGTAAATGGACTTTTGGTAGGCCTTGAAACCATCCACCGACCTACTGATAGGTTATTTATTTCCTACCTTCAATTTAAAATTCTCAATATGATGTAAGTAAATTCATATGGTATGCAAACTGATTCACCCACATCTTTAGTAGTTACTCCTTAAAAAGCTATGAATTGTCCCAATAAGGCTGATCATAAGCAGAGTATTACTAGCATTTTATGGTACAAGATATTACTCATAATATTCTGAAAACCACTTACTATGAATTGGAGGGGCTTTTTTGATCAAATTGAGTGGGCATATGTCGTAGAAGCAACTCCTAAACCTAGCAAAATGATGATGAAGTTATTGAAAACAATTGTTCGCTCAAATATTCTTCATTTTTGAATATTCTATGGGGAGTTTTAAACTTCTAGCAAAATGAGTTTATAAACTATGATTACAAAGAGTCGCTGCATTTAGTCTCGATAAATCAAATAATGTATGAACAGGAACTGATCATCAATTGCTACAAGAATACGACTATTAACGATGACTTGTATATATCGAATCAAAGCTCAGATGTGATTCCCTACGACTATCATGAGGAATCAATTAAAACACCTGCATCGTTTAATAACTTATCAATCAGTCAAACGCAGCACAGCGTGATAAAATTGTCCGGGAAAATCCCATCGTAGAAGCAGTAACAGTATATGTTGTAATAAGAAAGATCAGGGGTCCAAGATACAATTTGCGAATAGAATACAATAATTTGAAAAAATATGGGGAACTTAGAAACCTAGAATCAGAAATCCCCACTACGATAATCATGGAGAAATAAATCGATAGTTTAATTGATCATTAACTAAAAGTGTACATAACAAAAAGATAAAAAGACGTCAAAGAAACTGGAAAAAAGAACCTTAACCGCGGGTAATCAAAATAATGAACTTAGGCACAAAACAATTTCCTCGAAACTATGGCAATAGGGATCCGTAGGTTTGCTTTCCTGAAAAGAACAAAGTAAGTTAGTGACAATGTACAGACTAATTAATACCAAATAAAGAGTTTAAGAAAAAAAACAAGGATGTTGTGGTGTTGCAGTAGGTCCTGGCTTTATGTAAACGTTTCCAAAGAGAAATCTTTATTATTAATCTTGGTAGATAATCCATCGAAGGATGGATAAAGATTACAGGAATTACAAGGCACTAAATAATTTAGTCAAGATAAAAAATACGTGAAGAACTTCGACACGAGTCAGGGGAATAGTAAAAATAGGTTATTCAAAGTAATCAGTCAACTCGTTGTTGGGATAACTGATCTTATCCCTTTATCATAAAATATATCAGAAATATATGGAAAATGCCCAGAAGCATTTAACTCCATCTATGGGGGCGAATTATTAGTGAGATACGTACATATAAATGAAATATCATAGTTACTATTCTTTTATTTTCGTAGCAAGATTGGTATTCAGCCATGAACCAAAACATATAAACATAGTGATATTTTAACACAATACCACGAACTTGTTTGTTACCGACTAATCTACTATGATAGTCTAGTAACCGCAATAATCCGTTTTTAATGAGATCGACATGCTGCTGTAGCTGTTAGCATAGCACCCCCATTAAGTACCTAGTTCTTACGGACGATACTTAAACAAGTCATGGGAGCATTTGACTGATTAGTAGAAACAATACGATGCAGACAACATAATACGTGGGAGTAGTACAGTCGAATAGATCATTTTCTGCGGTGAATTATGGTTAGGGACAAAAGCTCTTTTCGTTAAGATGAAAGTCACGGCAAGTAAATCAGGACTGGTGATCTCTTTAGAGAAATAAATATAACTAGCACAGCTCTGTGAAAGACTACCGGGAACAAGTGACTGAGCAACTATAATATGTAGCTAAACTTGATAGTACGATATAGCTGTCTAAAGTTATGAGAAGTGTTTATATTCAGTTTCAGAAACCAACAAGTGAATCAATCACAAAACACGTTCTTAATTAACAGCTTTCGCTATCTAGTTAATTTTCATAAGACAATATACATAACAGTGGGTCATGTTTAGGATATACTCGCATTAAACGAAAAGATATGATCTATGAGATAGTTATTCCTAGAAGGGTATTTTTAAAGTGAAAACCCTTCTTGTATGTTCAAAAAACTTTCGATGTTTTACTTAGTTTGATAACAGCACTTCGCGATTTAGTTCTAAAATAGTTAGGATTTACACGTGGCAATGATATACCCCCAGGTAACGAGAGAATTTACGATGATGTCCAGGATATTTAACCTAAATAACTAATTTTAACGTAGTTGAAAGTAAGTGACACATGACCAAACTAGAACGATGTTTAACCAACGAGTATTTTATGATGGTCTGAATCCTTTAATTAAACACTTAGTTTCTTTTACGTATTTCTGACCTGGGAATAACTATTACTTCGTTAAATAGGATGTTTTAGTTTGGGATCCACAATACCCTAGCAATTATGAGTAATAAAGTATACCGATAAAATGAAAAGTGAGACACGACTAGATAAGTTAGATTTTTTGAAATAGCACACAGGATAATCTTTGAACAACAGGTTAGTAAATATCAAACAAAAATCTGACTTATAATAGGATAGTTTTTAGATGCCAAAAGCGATGAGGTAGATGAGTCTGTACAATGGAACCGAAGTGCGAATATTATCAAATAAATGAGTGCACAGAACAAAATCACATATGAAAAGTCACTAGTTAATGTAGTTTGGATGGCAAAAAGCAAGGTAAAATTAGACTGATAATACTTGTAAATACCACACGAAATTAAATAACTTATTACCGATTGGCGCTTCACACAAAAAATAAGAAAGCAGGAGGGTTGTTAAGACAAAATTAAACTAGTTACTAATGAGGAGGAATTTATGCTACCTTACTAGATAAAGCAGGACAGTCCTTGTCAAGATGATTGACAACAAACATTTTCAGACGTTCCACTTCAATTCTGCTGCGAGATAATCGATTACGCAACGCCCTGTTTTCTTCAGAGAGATGAATCACGTCTTTCTCCAAACTTTTGATCAAACGAATCTTTCGTTCCCTACATTTACGAGCCGCATCACGGTTTCTCGCTCTCTTCCGCTCTAACCGCATGCGCGACTGCTCACTGGGATCCAAACGTGTGTCCTTGAGGTTAGAAACCGCGACGTTCCTAGAACTATTTCCTTGAGACGAAGAAGAAACAGAAGAGACGGAAGATGATCTGACGTTTCGCATCGGATCATTTTGCTCTAAATTAATGTCTACTGAAGAAGGACGAGCATCATCAGGGTCTTGCAGTGAACTTGCTGAAGCTGTACGACGACTATCGGAAGTGTCGTTAGGGGGTAGATTTGTTTGTATGTTTAAAGGCCAGAGAGACGGATCCAAAGATTGGTTCTGAATATGAGCATGATGGACAAGCTCTGGTTGGGGCTCAATACCTAGCATCTGAAGAACTGACGCTTGTGAAGCGCCATTGGTTGTGATACCAAGACGCAACCCGTTAGGCAGTTGAACAGTTGTAACTTCACTATCCGTGGCCGGTTGAGCAGTATTGGGGAGAGAAATAGAAAGTGAATTTTGCAAATTCGTTAGTGTGATACTCTGTTCAGATGTTGAGTTGACCGAATCAGTTTGTTGTGACTGAAAAGCAACAAGACCTGGAGTAACAGTCTGAACACTAGAGAATGACTGCGCATCGAAGCAAGCTGGAGAGTAAAAGAGTATAGATGCTGGAGTTGTGTTGATTCCACTTTGACTTGCTTGACGACATAGTTCGGCAAAGTTTGGTAGATTTTGAGAGTTGAAATCAGCCAAATTGATATTGTACAAACCACTATTATTTACGGCAGAAGTAACAGGACTGAGAGCTGCAGTCAGAGAGGCCAGACTAGATGCATCCCGTAGCTCATTCAACTTCTGAGTAAAAACACTGGAAAAAATGGATGTACTAAGAAGATTACTTACTTAGCGAACCTCTCTTGTTCTTCAGTAACATGCTTAGGATTGAGAAAGCTTCCAGGAGTTTGAGGAGACGCTTTTAGATGTTGAAGGATTTTTTCTACCTCTGAACGTAAAATCGGTTGGAGTTCTTCTAGAGAAGGTGTCAGGAAAGATGACAATGCTGGACTTTTTATTGTATTGTCCAGCAGTATATTTAATGTTGTTGGGCGAGGTGCAGTTGTAGGCTTAATAGAACTGGATTCAGCACTGGAAGCGTCATTCGAACTCTGACTTTTATCCATTTTATTACATAATTACCCAGTGACAAACAGATGACTCACCCAAAACCAATCGGATGACTCAAGGTCTGAGGCGGGAAAACCAAGGGGTCGTCAACTGGTGCGGTTAAACAAATACTATGTGCAAATTTCTCATTAAACCGTTAAAAAAGTTCCAAAGCGTAGATTCCTGTATATGTTTTGGGTTGATTTGTTAGGAAAGTATTGAGCGCTTCGAAAGATCAATTTAAGTTGTCATTGCTACTCTTCTCTTATGCCGACTGATACTTCAACGTTGTTCATTTTTCATACTAACCGTGGTGAAAAATGAAATAATTTTACAGCTACGAAACTTAATCTTAGCAAAGCAGCATTTTCTTATTATATTTAGTGTATTAAGACTGGAGGATTTCTGTCAGAATTTAACCACATGAATCTATGATGGGCTATAAATCACTAATGAGTTTCAGTAACATTAAATGAAAAGATTATGCAGACATAATGAGCTGAATGTACTAGTTGTTGGGATATGGTGTGTAGGTTATTCGACGAAGCCAATAATGGCCCCATAATTAGTCTCAAATTTTGTGGTATACATTTGTTACTTGAAGTGCATTATGGTGTTGTTTAATTCCATTAATATTATAGCTAAAAAAATTCAAACGAACATCACATAGTAGTGCAGTTCATGATTGTGAACACTTGACTCGTGAAAAAATAACTTTGGTTCAATTATTAAGTTTCGATATGATACAAATTACTTTTCTACAGATGGTTATTATGACCATCATAGTCTGCGTTATCACTAGGAGTGAAGCAAGTTCTGAGTCATTCTTAATACTGCTCTAGTAGCAGCTGACAACCGGTATTTACATAATTTTTCTGAGTTCAGCTGTCGTTGAAATTCTGTTTGCTAATAATCATAACCCGAAATAAATGTCTAGGTTGATTTGGAACTCGGAAATCGGATCAATAGTAATTTTTATGATGGTTATATTATACTGAATAATTGATGTTTGAATCGAACGGTACTGGGTCCGAGTCCCTGAGTGAACATTAACCCTGGGCTGTAGGTATATCCAGCTGATGAGTCCAGAATACGACGAAAAGTGCGGCCTGGATTCCACTATTAACGATTATCCGTCTTTGATTATGAGGTATGTTTAAACATTTTATCAAAGTTCATTTGCGGGTATGCGTACTAGCAGCTGAACAGGATGTGTTCTTTCGTTATTATGCACTTTTTCCTGGTGAGACTCTAAAAGAACATATGCAAATAGACGCCCAGATCTCACCGACTAAAGACGAACGCAGCACACACTTGTAGAAGAAAGGTTTTAGATTTCTAGGGAGTATAATTTTCTTGACAACAATTCGAATTATGTTTAGCAAAATGATGTACGCGAGTCTGCCACGCTTATCTAGAGCTTTCAATAATTGTTAAAGGAAGCATTCCCAAATGGATGGGATCGCGGAAGATTATTCCAGGTCATTTTATTGAAAGTGTGAATTTCAATTTATTTCAAGGATGTCGATGGATCAGGCCTCAAAATTTTTGAAACCCTAAAGTGAAAGAAAGATTTGTATCTCACAGCGAATACATTTTATGGAGCCGAGTTCTTCGAGTAATCTTGAGGCTTTCTGACAGAAGAGTTGTTCCAAAAATGTACGAAAATAGTGATTTTTTCTGCCAGACTTTATTATTTACCCAATACCAAACGTCTGCGGCGATCGCGCCAAGCGGTTTGATGGAAATCTGAGGGCGAATATAGTGATTGTTTAATTTCTTTGGTGTTGCAGTCCTGAAGTCCGTTCTCGAACTTTGTACGGGGGTTTTGTATCATTGAATATACCTTTGTTTTCACGTCGATTCAGCGGCGACTCACTGCTATGATCTGCACCAGCCTGTTAATTGAGAACATGCATTCCTTCGAGAAGCGTTGGAATTGTTCGATTTCTTTAGCCATATGCTTGCTATCCAGTTGCGTACAGGAGGGTTATTCTCTTTGCACCAAACGTGAGAAGCCTAGGCGATATTTGTTTTTATGATATCAGCTACGAAGGTATAACGATTGCCATTAGTCATCGTATGGTTATCAGGAGTACAATAAAATCAACACGAACCGTGTGACCTGTGATAGATATATTTGAAGTGATAAAGTTTAATGCCATTAATCCTCCATCGACTGAGTACTTTTTGGAATATTCCAGCATCACACTTTTTATCACTGAAAATGACTTGAACACCACTTTGTACGACGTCATAGGTGTCTTTTCAATTCGTATACTGCATTCGAAATCTTAATCTATATTAGGGAATTTTTTTAAGAGTAACTGACTTACGTCAGAGTTGTTCAAAACATTTTTCATCATTATGTGACTAGGAAAACACTATTTCTATGCATGCTTTGTGAGGGATATTGTTGTCTCGAAACGTGTTTGAAGAAGAGAAAGCGAAAATGTGCGCTGATTAAATAAACCTCACTCATTTCATCGGTGAGCTATTGATTTTGGTCAATGTGCTTTAGAAGATCACAATTTTCTACACCGAGAAGATCACTATAACATATCATCAGTAAGTCACGCTTAAGAGGACACGAACTCAAGTTTCAAAGATGAAGGGACTTGCAAAATGTCCATGAAAACTTGTCTTGGTTCTAATCGTTAAGATGTGTAACCCCATGTATCGAGTTCTGACAGCGACAAGTCCACCAAAACTTCTAAAAGATCTCAGAGCCTACTTCGCTTCTGTAAGTACTACAAGCGATTACTTTTTGTGCTACTCCTCGTTGACTTTTAATACTGACCGAATTATTTTGCTTTTTAGGTTCTGTAAAGAATTAAAAAAGAATCGCACTGTTCCATGACTAAAAAGGCTATCATGATGCTGAATATAGTTGACAAATAATAACTAATCAGCCTTTCCGCTAAACAAGGGTGACATGTCGAACTGCGAAAGGTCCAAAATCATTTTTCATGGTAGAAGTGAAGCATTAGAATTTTTTACATGTAGTTCATAGCTTATCCTGTAGACCTTGATGTGGACTGGTTCTTGTTGATCTTAAAACTGTCATTGTTTGTTGATGATCAGGAAAACACTGACAAGTGGACCAACAACGTCTTCGATGACATCAAGTTCACAATGATATAGGCGTCAAGCAACAAACTATCATTCTTGGATGTATTATTCACCATAACCGACACGGGTAGGCTGGAGACTCAAGTGTGTAGGAAGCAAACCAACACAGATCAAGTTCTGAGCTAAAATAGCAACAACCCCAGAGCTCACAAAATCAATTGTGTACAAACTTTGTTCATGAGAGTGAGGACACACTACAGCACATAGCACAAAATAATAAAGAAAAATACCTTAAGACAGTCGTTAAAAAAACGGCTACCCAATCAACTTCATCGAAAAATACCAACCGCACGTATCAATAGAGACAAAGCCAAGTAAAGAAATCAACGAGATGATCACCCTACCATACACAAAAGGTATATCAGAAACTACAGCGAGACTGCTGAAACCCTTCAGAATAGGTTTTGCATACAAATCAACAAAATCACTACAATCAATTCTATGCAAACCAAAAGATGAAACGACAAAAAAGACAAACAAAACAACATCTACAAAAGAATTTGCGCCAACTGCGAAAAATGCTACATCGGACAAAATGGACGCCCTCTTCACCTTCGCCTGCACGAACATCAATTAACAGCCAAACTTTATGACATGTTCTAACTAATATCAGTGCACGTGGACAACTACGGACACACGTTAGGTTGGAAAAATGTGGAAATTTTGGACAGAAACACCCCAAAAAACACCAGAGAATTTTCCGAAGACTGGCACTCAAGTCAATCAAAAATCAACAAGCACATTGAAACCGCTCCAATTTATCAACCGATCAGAAAGGTTATGGACAAATATAGGGACGAAAATCAAACCGATGGGAGATACTACCAAATCAAAGAAGCAAACAATGACAGTTTTAGGATCTACAAGAACAAGTCAATATCAAGGTCTACTGGATAAGCTGTGAACTACATGTAAAAAATCCAAGTGCTTCACTTCTACCCGAAGCTTGTGCTGATGATGTAGTTCAGGGGAGCGATGGAAGCTCCATGACCGAACCATCCATCTCAGAGAACAAAACTCCAGCAAGGTGATCCACCTGAGCTACAATTCTTCTGCACTGGCCCAAAATAATCCATTGTACAGCAGTGAAATTATACCCAACTTGACTATATCTGCCTTGCTGTTGAAGTGCAATAGCCGGGTGATTTATTTTTGCTTTAGACAACCAACAAATCACAGGCTCTCCTGCTACTCCCTTAACCTTGCTGACGTACTACGTAATCCAAGTACGTACGTGAACATCAGCAAAATTCGAGATGTAATCTCTAATTCTTCCTCGCCGTGGTAATGTCAGTAATCAAGTTAGTTACTGGATGAGAAACAGGTTACACTATTAAGTAGCCAATGGGGTTTTAAAACTCTTGTTGGTTTGTAATGGTATTGGTCATAATCATACAATCCTCAAAGCTAAACATGGGACACTGTAAAAATAGATATTCAACATTTATAATGAAGAGAAGGCCAAAATTGGTGAAATCAGGAAGAATTAATTGATTAGAAGAGATAGCATAACTTAGCCTTGCAGACGTGGTCATTCTGTCTAACTGGTCTTTACTCACACTAAATATATTATTCTGTCCTTAACCTAAATGTGCTCTTCACGAACTCCAAACGTAATATCGCGGATTGTCACGATACGACTAGTCTTAATAGAAAGTTGTATGACTTCTACGTAAGATCTTATAGATAAGGCAGTCATATCATAACGTATTTACGATTTAAGGATTAGATCTATTGTTATAATAGTACTAATAACTAAGTAGACCATAATTCTACAAGCCCAAGCTCTTGGCCGGAAGCCAGAATAAGGTATGTGGGCTTGACACAGCAACTAACACCACAAGATCGTGGACCGTACGTTAGGGAGTCAGGTTATCTATTCAAA